TTCTGGGTTAGCGGAGTCTGTAACCTGAAGCGTCTGTAACCTGAAGCGTCTGTAACCTGAGGTACAACTGTACTACATAAAAGGGTACCATGTTGTTGTTGTTTTTCCTGGCAGGTCCACTGGACTTCTCAAGCTACACAGCAGGCATCATTTTCAAAACTTGGAAAAGTCTTGCCAGTTGAATTTCTCTGCTAAATTACTGGCTCCATGTAGCATTTAAAAAAGGAACAGGGATGCACCCTCCTGATGTGTGGAAGTAGGATTGTCAGCCTTTGTCTCAGCATATTTCTTATGTAAAGTTCTGATATGCCTGTCCCTTAAAGAGCTTTGAGAGGCTGAAAATGGGTGTATCAGACTGCTGCTCTCCCATTCTCCTATCTGCTGTAGGAGAAAGGAGAGACCTGATTGATTCTCCAGGCAGGTAGTAGAGGATGGTGGGCCCAGCAGAGCTCTGTTCTTTCTTAGCACCATGGCGTTTCTAAAGGGACAGGCAAAATTTCCAGATGATTGTCTGGCTGCAGTATAGGATAAACGTATAAAGTCCCTTAGCCAGTTGAGGTTAAATAAAGTCTGAAGGCGAATAAAATGATTCTTGCTCATTTGCAAAGTAATACGTGGTATCCAGTAAAGAACAAAATGGAATCCCATGCTTATTAGGTATAAGTATCAGTAAAATGCACTAATATATCATCCTGGTACCCAGTTTGAGTTTGGTGCCTTTTGGTCTCACTTTCCAATTCATGGAGGTCAGCTGAAACATTTTCAGGCCTGACACTCAGAGCACTGTGTCTATTGACAATGGACAGACCATTTAAAAGTAAAAATTGGGTACCCACTGTCCACCCACAATGCAGCTGGAAAGAGCTTGGGAGGCCTTCACATCAGTTCAGGGTGCCTCAGGCAAATCCTGCTTCACCTCAGGCAAACCCAGAATCTCACTTTGATTCAAGATTTGGGATTCATCTGAATCCACTCCATGCCCAGAGTTTTAACATGTTTTTGGTGCTGCTTATATGCTTAATAGTTGCTATACAACTACTAACAGCAATTGAAGTAAGCCTTGCAATTTAATTTAAAATGCTTTTTAGATGTTACTAAAAATGTGGGTGCTTGTCAAATAGCTTTTACTCAGAGTAGACCTATTGAAGTTAATGAACAAACATGCCTTATTAAATCCATTAATTTTAATAGCTTCGCCTTGAATAGAAGTTAGTTGAATGCCACCCTGCATGTTTAAACATCTTATTTCTTTACTTCATAGTCTCTCATAGGCTGCCAGACCCTCCAAATGTTCCTATTTTCCAGGGACATCCCTGATTTAGGGAAGCCATCCCGGATTCTGATTTGATCCTGGAATGTCCCACTTTTCCTTAGGATGTCCCTATTTTCATTGGAGGGTATGGAGTTATCCAGCCCCCGAGCCGTCTGAAGGTTTTTTTTTAACATTTAATGTTCTATTACATTTTTATATATGTTGGAAGCTGCACAGAGTGGCTGGGGCAACCCAGTAAGATGTGTGGGGTATAAATAGTAAAATTATCATTATGGAATGGGACGTCCCTACTTTCATTGGGGAAATGTTGGAGGGTATGGGCTGCAATCCAAATCATGCTTATCTGGCAGTACGTTCTGCCCCAGTGAATTCAATAGGACTTACTTCTGAGTAGACAGGAATGTGATGTTAGATTACTTGCCCTCCTCCCAATATCATTACACGAATGTATTGTACACAAATAATATTTACTGGGTGTCTACTAGCTGGGGCTGAGGGCATGGGTGTAGCCAGGATTTTTGTTAGGAGGGCAAGCCTTTTGTTGGGGGGGGAGGGACCTCATTTAGCTATGTAATTTTATTCATTTTTATTGATTTAGGGGGGCAGCTGCCCCTCGCTGCCCCCCGTGACTACTACGGCCATGGCTAAGAGTTCTATTTAGACACAGTAGTTTAAACATGGCCTGCAATGGAAGCATGCAAGTGGTTAACTGAATCCACGAGGCATTAAGCACCTGGTCTGGGGAGATCTTTGTTTGCCTGAGATGGCCCCAGACAGCATTCCACAGCTCTCTCCTCACCAGAGTAGGGGAAAAAAAAGTTTGCCTTCTAATCCTTGAAACAATAATAAGCTGCATTGCAATCACTAAGGGCTGGTTGCCGGGTTCCAAAGACTCGGTTAGGAATTTGGATTTTACATTCTTAAGTAGAAGCAAGTTAACTTCAGGGACTCTTCACATGAACAAGCTAAAATGTGAATTGAGGTCAGATAAGCTGAGGACTGCTTCACAGAACTGGTGTGTGCCCCAAAACTCCTTGATGAAGCAGGAAAAAAAGGAGGAGCTCTTCTGATCTACTCTATTCTCCTGCATGCAACAGCAGATAAGTTTCTCTGCTGTGTTAGGAGGAGAAAGACCACCATTGAAAAACAAACAGGTCAACTGGAAGCAAAAAGGATCAGTTGTGGTTGGTTATTTTGACTCTCTGCTTAGGAATTTAAAAGTGCACCCATATTTTCTGGTTTGCAATCTGGCAACAACCTGCTGCATGTTGTCCTAGTGAACACTAATGATTAAAGGGGAAATGAATGTCACACGATGGGTTCCACTGGAATATGACGACACATGGTCGGCATCCAGCAACAACCACATCCTTTTTACACCATATGATGTGGCCCATGAATGTCCTCACTGTGTGCCTTCATCTTTTCAGTTGTCTGCAGCTTAGCCATCTTGCCAGACCTTTACAAAGACTTTCATGAGTTTGTGGTCCTTTTGACTGCACTCAACATCTAGGACTAGGGTAGGCCAATGCAAAAAGGACCCAAGGGTCCTGTACCTTTAACATGCGGAAGAGAAGATATCAGTAGATTCAGCTTTTCCCACATCTGCAGGTTAAGCTGCACTTGCCAAAGTGCTCCTTTCTACACAGAAGACAAACACACGCACATCTTTCTATGTTTCCAATCCCACTAAATCAGGGATAGGGAACCTGTGGCACCTCTCCATGTTGTTTGACCACAAATCGCACCATCCCTGACCATGCTGGCCACAGCCGATGAGAATGAGAGGCCAATGGTTTCCCACTCTTGTTCTAAATGCACATCTGTAAATGAAACCAAAATGAAATGTAAATGAAATGAAATGAAACCAGAAGTCTTAAAGGGAAGATTGAAAAGACTGCCTGGGAAAGCAAAACACCATGATTCAGTGCAGTGCTTCAGCTCTATAAGAAATGCCATGCACCTGTCACTTTGTCATCTATCCATTACTCTGTCTGTCATTTCCAAATGCATAAGTCCTCTGAAATTTCCAGGGAATGCTCATCTTTGGGAAAGGCAGGCCCCTTCCTCTCTGGATTTTAATATGGTTTGCAGCATCTCCTTTTCACAAGCAATATGCACTGAATTTGTTCCCCACTTGGACTTGACTTTGCATAACAGGCATCAACACTAAAGCCCCCAGAATTTATAGACTTCCTCTTGGACCCTGTTTGGATTGTGTCTTGGAAGTCAGATCCTAGGAAGCAAATGTGCTTGAGCCAGTTTTCATCCTCTCGTCTTTGCGACTGTTTATGCTATTACAGGATCCTATTACGACGTAATCCCGCCTGCTGTTAGAGAGGTTATGTTTAATAGAAACTTTGTGCAGAAAAATAAATTGAATGCACTGAAAAGAAACACTCACCTAAAGCTTGCAGGACGGCACAAGTGGAAGAAAACATTAATAAATGTCAAGCGGGGGCTGGATAGCAAATCAAATATTGTACAAGCAAGATAAATTGAAGAGCCACTTTGTCATCCAAGGCCCAGTGAAGTGGTCCAGCTTCCTTCCCATAGTTACTTAGCCAGATGGAAAGAGCGGTTTAAGCTTTCAGAGACATTTTACAATGGCTTGTGCTCCAGGTGAAGCAAGTGGAAAGTGGAGCACGTGGTATACAGGCTTGGCCAAGGCTCTCGCTGTTCTTCTTCGCTGAGAGCCAGTGTGGTGTAGTGGTTAAGAGAGGTAGTCTCGTAATCTGGGGAACCGGGTTCGCGTCTCCGCTCCTCCACATGCAGCTGCTGGGTGACCTTGGGACAGTCACACTTCTTTGAAGTCTCTCAGCCCCACTCAGCTCACAGAGTGTTTGTTGTGGGGGAGGAAGGGAAAGGAGAATGTTAGCCGCTTTGAGACTCCTTAAAGGGAGTGAAAGGCGGGATATCAAATCCAAACTCTTCTTCTTCTTCTTCTTGATTTCCAACAGGACTGCTTGTCCTTTGAACCGTGCACAGGCAAAGTCACAAAGTTGAGCAGATGTGGCTTCCCTCACTATTGTAGTAGCTGCCACCACACAGGTGCCGTGACAATAAGAGAAACCGCTTCTGAGGGACATGTTGCCAGCCCAACTTCTTCAAGGCATCACTGGCTTCATATAAGGAAATAAATGTGTTAAGCAAACAGGTTTATAGGCTTCTGTGAAGGTGAAATGGAGACAACAGGGGCACTTTACCACCATTTCCAAGTAACCCAGTTGGTCACCTTGGGCCTATTCCAAACTCTGTTTAGGCCTGCCACTTTCCCCCAGGGAAAATGCATGGTCTCCTGCTGAATCAGAACAAACAGCAGTCAGGTTCGCCACAGATTGCCATTTGTTCCAGTTTAGCACTAAAGAGTGCATCTTCCGGGGGAAAGCGGCCGGGTAAAGGCAACACTGCTTGGACCCAGGCCTAGAAAGTGCAGAGCAAGCAGAAAGCTGCTCAAGCCCATGGTTTCTATGTATGGGACAAGCAGAAGTGTGGACGAGGCCCTTGTCTTGCTGAGCAGTGAGGAAAATTATGCAAATCTCCAAGTTCCTTAGATTCCTATAAGAGGCGGGCAGTGGGATGAGAGCCCTTGCTCTGTCACTGTTTCGGTTGCCTTCCAGTTAGTGGTATGTGACTGTATGAAGCAAGGAACGTTTTTGTAGCAGGGGCTGCATCTCGCACCTTCTAGAACTCTAAAATACCTGGGGAGGATCCATGGTTGGGGAAGGGCTGCAGCTCAGGGGGAGAACAGCTGCTTTGCATGTAGAAGGTCCCTGGTTCAATCAATGGCAACTCCAGGCAGGGTCAAGAAAGCAGGGGGGCCCATGTTGGAAGCCTCCAAGGAGCAGCTGCCAGTCAGTGTAGACAATGCTGAGCTAGGGGGAGACAGTATAAGGCACTTTCCTATACAAAATGGCTCCTTGCTTCACACAGGCACTTCCCACAAGCTGGAAGGTGATAGAAAGAGGGATGGAGCTCATGCATTTCCCCCCGCTTCCTCCCCTCCACATACCCAGTGTGTTTGCTCCCCTGTTGGTAATGCCTGCACAAGGCTATTGTCTTTACCACTTGGCAGGATGACACAGTTCAGCAGCTTGCCAAGTGATCACATAGCACTTATTAACTTCCTCTGGTTTCTAAGCAGTTGCCCGCGGCAACCCTCACTCCCTGCCTAGTGCAGGGGGGGGGGGCTAACCTATTATCTTTCCGATGTTGTTGGACTTTGGCTCCCATCAACCCTGGCCACTGGCCATTCTGCTGGGACTGATGGAAGCTGGAGTCCAACAACCCTGTCCTGGAGAGAGCTCATGTTCAGCTGGCACCACATGGCATGTTTTGAGGCCTGAACAGAGTTTTCTCCATCCCTCCATCATGCTACTTGGTCACATCTTTTCTGTCTTCTTTCTGTGGCAAGGGTGCACACATTATCCATTTCTGCACAGCCATGGAATATAGTACTGAGCTCAGAGTTCATAAAATAGAGCATTTTAGATTCCATTTAAACACACACACACACACACACACACACAGAGCGAGAGAGAGAGAGAGAGAGTGTGCTTTTAAAAAAAAAATGTTTAGGGGTTCTCTCATTTTCCTACTCATATTGAAATACTGCCCCTCAATGAGGCCAAACTTAGATTCACAAAATGTTTAGGGGTATGCACCCCACTGCATCCCCCCAGAAAAAAGCACAGCACACACACACACACACACTCGGTTTCTTGTTTCCATGGCTAGATAGAGTGTGCAAAAGTATGTGGCAAATCCCTGATAAAACTCTTGGCAGACAGAGTGAAAACTTAGTAGGATTTACAATTATCAGAAGGGGCGGGAGGGGAAGTTTGAATGCCTCTCCCACAGCTCTTAACAGCATCACCACCACCCTTGATGACCCACAGGAAAAAAAGAGAGCAAAATAAGTACAGTGGTACCTTGGGTTACAGATGCTTCAGGTTACAGACGCTTCAGGTTACAGACTCTGCTAACCCAGAAATAGTATCTCAGGTTAAGAACTTTGCTTCAGGATGAGAATAGAAATCATGCTCTGGCGGCGTGGCAGCAGCAGGAGGCCCCATTAGCTAAAGTGGTGCCTCAGGTTAAGAACAGTTTCAGGTTAAGAATGGACCTCCAGAACAAATTAAGTTCTTAACCTGAGGTACCACTGTACGAAAACTGGCTTCAGTAAGACTGGTTATAACCTGCAAGCAGAGAAGCTGAATTCTTGACTGTTTTAGCTCAGAGTCTCATAGATGGCGTTCCCTACCTCCTGCTGAAATTTGTTGCAGAATGTAGATGCACTCAGTTATGTTGTGGGGGCTACCAAGATGGTCAATCCACTAAGTATCACTTCCCCCTTATCTATGCAACTGACTTTATTTTAAATATACACAAATATTTAAAAGGTATCACATGACTGGAGCCCTCTTCAGACTCAGATGGAAAACTAATAATACAATGGGGTTGCAAGGCCACACTTTTGACTCACACCCACTTGATTTTGTAGCTTGTGGTGACTTCCTTAATCTAGATTGTTACAACAGCTACCTGAAAGATGCTATTAGTTTCACAGAGAAAACATTCAGGTACCACACACACACCTCAGTGTTTTCCCCATTGCAGAGTTAAAAGCAGTTTCAAGAGGAGAGATTTAATTGAGAAGAGTGTAGCTTCTTTCCCAAGTACCACAACCCTGATCTTCAAAGTAGCCATGTAGGGCCTGCTAATTAGTTCCATACATATCTAAAGTAGGGAGAACCTGATCCCAGATCTCCTGCATCTTACCTAGTTTATCCCCAAATGAGGATCCTAAGACAGGCTCCCCCCTACCCCAAACCATCACCACCACTTGGGGTTGATTTCTAGAGCCTCTGGAATTTACATGCATCAAATCCTGCAGGAGGCAAAAGACTCAGGAAGTTTTAAACAAGGCCTGTCCTTTCATATGAACCAGGATTGCATTTGCAGTTCCAGAGACTAGGATAAGATGACAAGGTCCATCAATCCACATGATTTGAGGGAATAAACTGATCACCAGCTGGCGCTGGGAAGAAATATTCCTCCCAGCTAGAGTAGCAGTGCACTGCTCATTTCCACAGAAGGATTTATTCTTTCCCCTGATCCAGCATCACATCTTACCTTTCAGTGGAGAGGAGACTGTCGAGTTTGGATGGGTAGTTTATGAGCCACTTGTTATGTGGTTTCCCAGGACTAAGACATTACTGGGACAATAGACAGCAGCTGACCATGTTAGTGAGTCCCACTGAGTTCAACCGAGAAAACTTAAGCATACGCTTATTCAGCTTTATTCATTACATTTCTACCCCAGTTTTCCACTAAGGAGTCCAGGGTGGCTTATAAGGTCATCACCCCCCCCATCCCATCTTCAGTACAACAACCCTATGCAGGGGAAGCACATCCTGTTTTACCACTTGGGATAAAACAGGAAGTGCCACTCCACCCAGCTGCTGCCCCCCTGTCCTCCCGCCTCCATCTCTGGCAGAGAAGTGATGCCAGCATCGGTACGGGTTTCTGGTGAGATTTTGTGCACTCCATGAGATCTTGTGAGATCTTGCCAGAAACAAGTTTCTCCACCAGTGCTGATTCTTTGCTGGCAGTGGAGGTAGCAGGGTGGGCAAGGCACCTGTGGCAGCATCACCTTGGGGGCTTCTGCCACCTGAGATGGCTGCTTCACCCCATCTCATGGTTGGGGTGGGCCTAACCCCATGAGATAAGTTGGGGTGAGAGACAGTGAATGACCCAAGGCATTCAGTGAGCTTTGTGGCTGAGAGAGGCTTCAAAGCTTAGTACCCCAGTCTTTAGTTCAACATTCTACCTCAGGTTGGTCAGCCTTGAGATGATTGCATAGAAGATGATTAATACAATAACAACCACCTATGGCCCTCCAGCTGTTGAATGATTCCAACTCCCATCAGTTCCAGCCAGCATGGCCAATGGTCCTCCCAGCTGTACAACATCCCCATCCCTGCCGTGTTTGAAACTCCCATTGTTCTAGGCGCATTTTGTGACAGGGGATTTCATTAGCGCAAGCAGTTTCTCAGGTCTAGGTGCCGTACTGAGCCTAAGATTTCAGATTAAAACTGCAGTGGAAGGAAAGGAGGGCTTTTTTCTGCCTCCCCACTTCCAGCTATTCTGAAGACTGGAGAAGAGACCCTCTTAAGAATATCAGGGGGGGTATGTATTGCAACATTATAAATAAATAAATAAATAAATAAATAAATAAATAAATAAATAAATAAAATATTAGGGGTGGGCAGGGGAAGGACTAGACCATGTGAAAAATGAACATAATATTTTAGCTGCAGTTCATTCATTTTCAGCTTTGTATTGTTGTTATTAAAAAAGCGCACCTAGACATTCCATTGTTGCACCCATAACTTAGGTTTAAGATGCCATTTAGCTCCTAACTTTCAAATCTCAGTTTCTAACACTGCATCCCTGTTGTACAACATTCCCATTGTTCCTTGGACTTGGTTGAAACAGCACTAGAAGTTGCAGTTTGACTAATGGTTCTGCTCAAAGTTCTTACAAACAAGAGCTGCGGTTCCTACATTGCAGGGGGTTGGACTAGTTGATCCACTGGGTCCATTCCAACCCTACAATTATCTGATTCTACGTTGAGGCAGTATGGTGCTCTTGTTGCCTTTCCTATAACCTCCTTCTGCTCCCAGCATATATTTCCTCTCTTTCTTCATTGTCATTTTGGGCTACTCCCCATGTTGTGCGCACACAAGTATACTTGCATATGGTATAATGTTAAAATAGTTCACATATATTGTCTTGGAGGAAGGGTGCCAGTCATCTAGTCAATTTATGGTAGAGGTGAATTTCTGATTAACAGCTTAGTCCCCTAACAGCTTAGCCCCGAAACCACTAATAACACTGATAGTGCTCTTTAATAGCAGTTGATAAGTTGCTGTTTTTCAATCCCATCATTGATGGGGAATTTTCTGCTAAGAACAGATGAGGTGGCTCATGTTCCATTTGCAAAGAGATAGTTCACCAGAATCCATAAGGAATGATTAAATTCTCATTTGCTTTTATTTAATAAGGATGGGCCAGATTCAACTCACCTGGTGCACTGGGAGAAGCCAGCACATGGACTCCTACTAGCACAACAGGACTTATGCCCACTCCTCCTCCTGCATGCCCCCACCTCCCCAAAATTCACTCTGGAGGGTCCGAAAACACCCACCTGCCCACCTTGAACAGTGCATGGATGGAAGGAAAGTTGAGATAATTCCATCTGGAAAGCAGAAAAGATGGTGCTAATAGAATGATTGTATCAGTTTGACATTGAATTCCATGCAACCTATTTACCATCTGGGTTACCTAATGTTCTACTAATAGCAGTTAGCAACTCAATATTTTCATATCACCAGAAAACTCTCTCTCACGCGCACATTCATTTTTCATCTTCATCCATTGTTCTTGGCAGCTGTTCCACAGGCACAAATCTTTGAAAGTAGGGATGACTAACTTGTGGGACTCCAAATGATCCTGGATTCCAGTTCACATCGGCCGCAGCCAGCATAGCTGAGGTTCAGGGATGACAGGAGCCTAATAACATCTGGAGGTCCACAAATTTCCCACCCTGCTGTAGCATCCCATTAGATATTTGGCCAAACTGCAGTGATGACCACCTCTAGCATCTGGCTATTTATGTATCATTAAAGCTCATGTGTTGGCAGGAGACGGGACTTTCCTAGTCCAGCCTGCTGACAAAGCAATGGATTGGGATGCTCATGCAAATGTCTGTGTTTCAATGGTTTCTCCAGCCCAAATCCAAG